TGGTTGGCCCCGGGCTGGGCGGGGCAGCTGCAGTGGTTGTAAAAATAGGGTTGTAGAGGGGTTTTCCCTGCCCCCTTTCCCAGGCTCTTAGCTCCCATTTCCCTCCAGGCCCGGTGCATGGCGGGGCCCTTCTAGGGTCGCTCGCCCCGCCTGTGTCATGTTAAAGGAGCCACGGGCCAGTGCTACCCCCTCCCGCAGAGAAAAATGCTCCTCCCCGTGTTAGTGTTTGAAACAATCCGGATCTCAGCTCCTTTGTCAGCATCCCCCACCCCAGCGTTTCATCCACGTGCCCTGTTCTGGTCCCAGGCAGTGTTTGCCTCCTCTTGTCACCCCATTGTTATTTCGTCTGCCCAGCGGCCCGCTGTCTTTTCTCATGCCCCATTTGTGTGTATAACCCAAATATTCGCTCATGGCCACTTAGATACTTTTTAAATAGGGAACCAGTGGCCGAAATCCTTGTAAACACCTGTCCCTATGGGCTTTAGAGCAACTTGGATGAACTGCTTCTGAGAAGGAATTTTTTGTGGTATTTTGTCGTCTGCCCCGATAAATGGAGAACCACAAGAATTCAAACCCCATGAGTTACGCACCCCAAAGCCTGGAACTGAAATAAAAGAAAAAAGATTTTTTTTTCTTTTTATTAGTTTTTGTGGCTGAGCCTTTCGGGCATCCTAACTTCATACTTGTACTGCTCTCCCTTCCAAAGGAGCAAAATGCAGGACAATGTAGCACTTTAAAGACTAACAAGATGGTTTATTAGATGATGAGCTTTCGTGGGCCAGACCCACTTCCTCAGATCAAAGGAAGTGGGTCTGGCCCATGAAAGCTCATCATCTAATAAACCATCTTGTTAGTCTTTAAAGTGCTACAGAGTCCTGTTTTTTGTTTCAGCTAGACTAGACTATCACGGGGAGGCATAGAACCGCAGTGGTTGTACAGTCCTGTAACACGCGATGTCATTTGGCACTTCTGGGACCATGCGTTTGACTGCCCTCCACCACTTGCAATTGAAAATTGATTTTAAAACCATGTTTCTCCAAGTAGCTCCCCATTCGGCACATGCTGAGGGGCACACTTGACTTTTCTAGGACTTCATGTGTGTTGAAAAGCTTCAGAGGGATAGCCGAGTTAGTCGGTCACTGGAAAAAATTGAAAACCCCCCCCCCCACAGAAATGGTCTAGGTCAGGCATGTCCAAAGTCCGGCCCGCGGGCCAATTGCGGCCCGTGTTCCGGTTTAATACGGCCCCCCGGGTAATTTGGCAATATCTATCTTTTATGGCCCCCAATGAATCCATATGTATTGAGATGAATACATTGTAAAATCTCAGTTAAAGTCAGTTGGTCTAAATCAGTTATAAATATATTTGGACACAACATGTATACTTGGTGTTATGTTCCTGTTCATATTTTTTGAACTTAAAAGTTGACAGACAACCTTTATTACCAATAATATGTAATGTACTTTACAATGTTCCTGACATATATTTCAGCTTCCTGGATTTTTTTTTCATCTGGCCTTCAGATATGAAAGGCAGAGTGATTTAACACCTGTTTAGATTTGTCATCCATGTGACGAAATGAAAAGTATGCCGTTTGCAATAAACTTTGCATAAAATAGTTAATTTGCATTTAATTTTAATGGTTCAAAGAATGTCAGGCAAAACGGTCGGCCCTCACGCATGTTCACTTCATCAAATCTGGCCCTCTTTGAAAAAAGTTTGGACACCCCTGGTCTAGGTTAAGGTGCTGCTAGCTAGACCATTCATTTATGTTGGTTTTTTTACCGTGTTGTTTATACTAGGTTGCCTATTTTCAGTTCACTGCCTTTTATGGACGCTAACTTTACCTGATCCAGAATGCGGCTGCTCGAGTTTTAACTAATGCTTGTTATATGGAGCACGTTATGCCAGTGCTCCGGTAGCTGCACTGGCTTCCAGTATGTTTCTAGGCACATTTTAAGGTCTTGGTTATGACCTATAAAGCCTTAAACGGGTTGAGTCTGGGGTATCTGAAGGACCGTCTTCTCCCGCGTGAACCTGCCCCGGGGATTGAGATCAGCTGGGGAGACTGCTCGCTGTTCCTCTACTTTTAGAGATAAGATTAACATCTACATAGACCAGGGCCTTCTCAGCTTTTGCTCCCAGGCTGTGGAATTCTCTTCCCTGGGATATTTTGTGTGTGTGTGTGTGTGTGTGTGTGTGTGTGTGTGTGTCCCTCCCTCCTCTTGCGATGTCTTAGCAGGTTTTATGTCCCCCTGGGATCTCGATTTTTAATGTGTGTGCGTATATATATATATGTTGCATTTTAAAAATTGTGGAAGCTGCCTCGAATATTTTAAATAAAGAGGAGGAGTAAAAATATTGTAACTAACTAACTAATATCTTTTTTGCTGTGATAAGAACCTAAGCATGGCCAGACTGGGTTGGATCTAAGGTCCATCTAGCCCTGTGTCCTGTCTTCCGACCAAACCCAGGTGCCCAAGTGGGAGTGAACAGAACAGGAAATCGTCAAGCGACCTGGCCCCTGTTGCCCATTCCTAGCTTTTGACAAAAGATGCATTTCAGGAATGTTCTTCGTTGTGACATATGAACTGATTGTACGGCTAGTAGAGTCAGAGTTTTTAAAATGGATTGCTCTGATCTCCGCAGCGATCAGGTGCGTGGACTGAGGAGGAGGCAAGGAGCAGAGCACATGGTTCTGATCTCACCTCATTTACATTTTGGTGGAATTCAAGTGCTTTGCCTCCGTTCTGCTTTTGCAGGGGGACAGCGAATGTGGGTTGGTGACCCCATGGAAAACCCTCCCCTCCCATTTTCTTAGCGATCCAGGCTGTGCTGCCGAACTCTCTTTTAAAACAACCTATGAGTGTTTATGGCCTGGCAATTCTGGTTGTGTGGCTGCTGCTTCAGCTTCTTGGCCAGGCGCTGCATCTGAGCACCTGCCCCCAGCTGGGTGGGTTTCATGGGAAACAAAATAAACCAAAGGAGTTAGCAGAGACGACGACTCTGCCTCGCTTCACCCACTCGTACACACGGGGTGTTAAAATACGTGGAACTCAGTAACTGCGTCACTGCTGTCTGCCTCGCTTCACCCACTTGTACCCACGGGGTGTTAAAATACGTGGAACTCAGTAACTGCGTCACTGCTGGAAAATGTCAGTGGTTACGTGGGAGGCGTGTCCTGGCTCCACCCTGCGGTGGGGTGGCAGGTGGCTTAGCCAGCTCCCCACATATACCCGGAGCCTGCGTGTAAGCAATGACATGGTTACACTTTCCCATCACACACATCCGCTCCCCTTTTCATTTTCTTCTTCACGGCTTCTGTGCCTGGTCTGATGCTTAGGGTGTGAAATTACTGTGTATAAATTCCCGGGCTATAGCCCCCCTGTGTGGATGCTCTCAAAGAGGAGTAAGGGGGCTGTAGTCATCACGCCCGTCTCCTGAGTGTTCAGGGCTGCCTGGAGCCCTGCTCTCATTTCTGGATACGTTTCAGATCTCGGCCAGACCAGCATCACTGCTGGTTCTGATGGAGGGGCGGGGCGCGGATGGGCCAATGGAATCGGACTCTGCCTGCCTGTCCCAGAAGGATGATGGGGGAGTCCAGGTAGCTCGTTCATCAGGTGTTGCCACCAGAGCAAGGAGAAGACAGTCACACCGCAAAATAGAGCAAGCCGCAAAACAGGCTCCTTTGATTCTGCTCTTTCTCTGGCATTTGGTTGAGAGATTCTGTTCCTGGAAGGGTGGAGGGAAGCCGGGTGGGAACTGGATCCAGCTCCCTCTATAACCTCCCCCATCACCCCTCTCGCCCTGACAGGCTGAGGAATCGCATCCAGATTTTGCTCCAGATTTTCCTGTCTTCCAGGGCAATGGCCGGGATGGAGCCAGCTCAGGTAGGGGATTTCCAGGGAGCTGTTGGGCAGGGGGAGACGGCGAGGCTGAAAGGAGATAGGGTGGGATAAACCGGCTCATTTTCTGAGCAGGCCTGGGCAGGGGGAGACGGCAAGGCTAAAAGGAGACAGGGTGGGATAAACCGGCTCATTTTCTGAGCAGGCCTGTTAGTCACATGGGAGGAGAGCATGTTAGAAGATTTGTGCATTGCTTTGGGATGTGCTCATTTATTAAGGTTACTCTTTGCGGGGAGGGGAAGGGGTTCTGTAATTGTATCAGTGTGCCGCTTGTGGTCTTATACGGAGCTCTGCTTCTCCTTTCTCTCCAATGGAGCACGTTCTCCAGGGCTCCTGAGCTCTTCCTACCCTAGAACCAGGTAGACACACACACCCATGAACAGAGCACGTCTGAGACAACCGGGTTAATCAGCACTCCCTTATATGAGTCTGGACTCAGCCGAAACAGCCATTTCAAGCTGCCTCCCTCATGTGCCCCCAGCATAGGGATGTTAGCAACCAATCGACTAGTCGGCTAACCCATAAGTAGGAGTTTATCGATGAGCACTGTCGATTAGTTGCATCCCCCCAGCGGCCCCTGTGCATTGCACAACTGAGAGTAGCCAGCGCACGAAGGCGCAGAGTCGGTCCCTGTTCTACGCGTTTCTTTTCCTTCATCACCACACACGGACACCAGCTGCCGTTCTGCATTGCACAGCCTAGGGAAGCCACATGTGAAGGCGCTGAGTCGGTCCCTGCGTCACACGTTTCTTTTCATTCATCATCCATCACCTGTGGAACTCCTTGCCAGGGGATGCGGTGAAGGCTAGAACTTTAGCAGGGTTCAAAAAAGAGCTAGATAGATTCATGGAGGTGAGGTCCATCAATGGCTATTAGCCAGGATGGGTAGGAATAGTGTCCCTAGCCTCTGTTTCTCTGGAAGTGGGTGACGGAAGGGATCACATGAGGATTCCCTGTTGTGATCCTTCCCTCTGGGGCATCTGGCATCAGCCACTGTGGGCAGACAGGACAATTCTTATGAGGTTTACCACGTGCACGCACGCACACCGGCTGCTGCTCTGCATTGCACGGCCTACGGGAGCTGCGTGCGAATAGTGTCCCTAGCCTCTGTTTCTCTGGAAGTGGGTGACGGAAGGGATCACATGAGGATTCCCTGTTGTGATCCTTCCCTCTGGGGCATCTGGCATCAGCCACTGTGGGCAGACAGGACAATTCTTATGAGGTTTACCACGTGCACGCACGCACACCGGCTGCTGCTCTGCATTGCACGGCCTACGGGAGCTGCGTGCGAAG